TCTCTGGCTCGGAACTTCTGCGTTCATTGTGTCGAGTCGGGTTCGTGAAAAATTGTTTGTTAACTATTTCGAGTGATTTTAGATTTTGACATTAAAGCACTCGTGTGCTTGCAATTATATTTGTTTTATTTGTTAGATGTGTTTTTTTAAGTTTGTGCAATGTAGAAGGTAAATGAATAGGTTGAGGATCGTATTATACGAAGAGGCAATGATAATTTTTATTTAAGTCACAGAATTTATATTTCTAACCTTTCTTTTGATGAGAAGACACTTGTGTGTTTGCAATTATATTTTTTATCTTATTTGTTACGCGTATTTTCTTAAGTTTGTCCAATGTAGAAGGTAAATAAATAGGTTGAGGATCGTATTATACGAAGAATTAGTGAGCAAGTGGAATTTTTATTTAAGACAATTGTAAGCTACTTAACTTAAAATTTGTCACTGTACTTATATTTGTGACCCTAATTTTGACGTAAAAATTAATTTTGTTAGCTTCTTCACCCCTGGGAAAAATTTTAATGGGGGATTCTAGAGGCCAAAATATTCTGAATTTTTTTCTTGAAAATGCGCAGGATTTCGGGGGTATGTCTATTCACCAAAAATGATTGTAATTGACCCCCGCAACGATAAATAATTTTTCCAGAACGATTCGAAATTTTTTAATTTTGTCGACTTTGTCCACCCACTCGAATTTTTTTCTCGAAAATGCGCAGGATTTCGGGGTTGTGTCTATTCACCAAAAATGATTGTAATTGACCCCTGCAATGATAAATAATTTTTCCAGAACGATTCGAAATTTTTTAATTTAATCGATTTTGTCCACCCACTCGAATTTTTTTCTCGAAAGTGCGTAAGATTTCGGGGTTGTGTCTATTGACCAAAAATGATTGTAATTGACCCCTGCAACCGACAATAATTTTTCCAGCATGATTTGAAATTTTTTTTTTCGCCGAAAAATTCCAGCAACTACCCCCTTGTCGATTTTTCTTGAAAATTCATTTTTAACTTTTACTAATTTTGTTTGACGCTGTACAGAAATGTTGTCTGATACTTTTTTGTAGGTACTCATAAGCACTATTTCAGAAAAAAATTTCAATGAAATCCATTGAGTATTGTAGGAGTTATGGCCGTTTGAAAATTGGACCATTTTTATGGGGTTTTTCTAACTTTACGGGGCCAAGGAACAACTTTTTCAATATTGTTAGAATTTCTACATATTTTATACTAAAATACGCGTCGTTTGCCTTTTGAAATATTAAAATCCTCCGATCCGTTCGGGAGTTATGATTTTTTAAAGATATTTTCAAGGAACCATTTCTGACCAGAAATTATATTTTCGGTAAGGAATTTTTTTCTCGAAAGTGCGTAGGATTTCGGGGGTATGTGTAATGACCAAAAATGATTGTAATCGACCCCCGCAACTGAAAATAATTTTTCCAGAACGATTTGAAATTTTTGAATTTAATTATTAATAACTTTTTAACGAAGCCTCCATCAACAAATTGCTATTCTTGATTTTCGTCTTATTTTTGCCTCTAGAATCCCCCATTAAAATTTTTCCCAGGGTTGACCGAATACCCTGTATATGACAGTATTTAATGGCCTTATCTAAAAATACTTTTAATACACTCAGACTGAAAATTAATCCGAATTAAAATACTCGATTCATTGTTAACTATACGAGGCAAAAAATAAGTATATTTTCCGTTCCTTAGAAAATACTTTCAACGCGTTGGCTGTCGCGTGACCCACCGGTGGCACACGCCCTATGTTGAAAACAATTTTGATATATAAATTTTGATTTTAAACAACTGACCTTTCTTTTGACATAAAAATTAATTTAATTAATTCCATAGTGAAAAATTCTGTCAGCCATATATGGCAGTACTTAATGGCTCTATCTAAAAATAATTTTAATACACTCAGACTGAAAATTAATCCGAATTAAAATACTCGATTCATTGTTAACTATACGAGGCAAAAAATAAGTATATTTTCCGTTCCTTAGAAAATACTTTCAACGCGTTGGCTGTCGCGTGACCCACCGGTGGTACACGCCCTATGTTGAAAACAATTTTGATATATAAATTTTGATTTTAAACAACTGACCTTTCTTTTGACATAAAAATTAATTTAATCAGTTCCATAGTAAAAAATCCAGTCAGCCAAATATGGCATAAATGCGATTTTGCATGCTTGGTGGGTTCTGCAGGAGGATAAGGGCGTAAGGGAAATGAAATGAGAGGATAGTTTGAGAAGTTTAGGCCTTAAAGACCTAACGAGACACGGTTTTCTGCAGAGACGCCGCTCTATCAATTTTTGAGGTTGCCCACTGGCTTGTTTCCCGGGCGAAAAGGGGAAGAAAAACGTCCGCGCGGAACTGCCAACCGTTTCCTCGGGGTCGCGGCTGGCTGAATAGAGTCTCCGTGACTCTTAAACGACCGCTGAATGGATGAATGTGAACTCATTATCGGGGCTCGAGGCTGCTTACGAGACCGTCTCGGATCGCGATTAATAAACCCCTGCGCCCGAAAACAGTTTACTCAAAATTTCGAAACCGCTCGAAATGACCCTCCGTAATTGCTTGTTAGCGGTTTCGCGCCACGAAACTACTCCGGGGGAAGCTTTCACTAATTATACACTAAAAATGTAAATTACGCAGCTGCTTGATCTTTGAACATCATTTTCACTCGGTTAAGAAATCGTCGCTTTTCGTACGATTCGCTTACCTAGAGACGCTCGAGCTTAAAAATAATCTTTGTACAAGTTTATAACGCCGTGAAAATAATACAAATTTATATTACATGGTACACGTATCGTTTTTTTAATTAACGTTATTTCATTTTAACATTTGGTCGCTGGGAGCTTTTCAAAAATGCATCAATTAGAAGTAAACATTTTATTCAGAGGAAAACATGAAGTACAGTTTTCCCAGTTTCGAAAGAGCATTTCTTTGAAAATCTGCCAAATTAAATATATAAAAATACGTCCATAAAATAAAACCCATCTGCATCTAATTATTGTCTAAACATAAATCTCGTTATTACATATATGGTGTCTCTGATTGTGTCAAAGATCGACTTTGCATCGGGGAAAAATAATTTAATAATCTTGCCAGTGCATCGAAATGTACGTAATATTTTTGCCCGAGTGTTCGAAGCAAAAAATTGTTTCGCCGCTTTCTAAAATAACGGTAGTCGAAAATGACGGTTGTTTTTCAAGGAATCGTCGCCAATTTATTCGCAGGCGAGACAAGATCGGAGACACGTACGGCACATGCTATTCAGTTACCAGCCGTAATCAATGATCTCGTCACGTGTTAGGTGTTAAACTGGTTTCTTGGCATTAATCTTAGTCGCATTGTACACGTAAACACGGTATACGCGTGCTATCTCGTCGCGTATCATAATTCATCGTGTACCGTTGTCACAGTTTCCCTGTCGCGGGTGTACAGTAACTTCTTTTTCCCGTTATCAACGGCGACATAAAAATATCAGCGACGCCGCGTACAAACGTAAAACCAAGGATGAGACGCGACCCCCACGGTCAATCGACGATTGTTCGAATCCCTCATAAATATGGACGCTGTACAAAGCGATGCTACGTACTGTTCAAGATGAAATTCAAATGCTGTACCAATATGCTAGGCGGACGTAAAAAGAAAAAAAAAGAATTTCATCGCTCGGTTCGCTAAGCTGCGAATACGCGTGCAAAAATGTACGAAAGGAGGCGAAAGAAACCGGGTGAAAAATTTATATCGCCTCCACGATCTTTTTATCGTTGTTCAATTGACTGAATAATGCGTAATTCGCGGTAAAAAAAAAAGAAAAATACAGATTTTGAGTCTTCTTAAATAATTCGAAAGTCTAGAGACGTCCTCGATGTTTGTTTATTTAAGAAATGTATTTTTCAAATAGAAAATATTTCTAACGCGTTGGCTGTCGCGTGGCCTGCCGGTGGTACACGCCCTATTAAAAACCAATTATCATATGCTCAGAATGGAAGGTGATTCGAATTAAAATTGCATGATTCTAGCAAACTATACGAGGCAAAAGATAAGAATATTTTTCGTTTCTCAGAAAACATTCTCAATGCGTTAACTGCCCGGTGATCCGCATGTGGTTCACGCTCGGTTTAAAAACAATTTCCGAATTGAAATTACTCGATTCGTTGCAAATTATAGGAGGCAAAAAATAAGAATATTTTACATTTCTCAGAAAACATTCTCAGTGCGTTGTCTGTCGCGTGACCTCCTGGTGGTACACGCCCCATTTAAAAACAATTTTTTTGAAAATTGCTTGATTCTAGCAAACTATACGAGGCAAAAGATAAGAAAATTTTTTATTCCTTAAAAAACACTTTCAACGCGTTGATTGCCACGGTGGTCACCGGTGACCGTCACTTTGAACTCACAACGCGTTGCAATATTGTTTGCAATGGAAGAACCCTGATACTTGCAAAATAGGTAAATAACAAGGAAACGTTGTCCTTAACCCTCAAGTGTATTATTGGGACCGCAAGTTTAAACAAATAATCGTTTAATACATGCAACTGTAATAATTTAAAAATGTATATAATCCTCCATCAGTTAATTATTTTTTAAATGCCTCAAGTTGATTTCCATTTGCCAATTTGGTAAAAATCAACATCAAGCAATACAATCCACTCGAGACTCCGGAGTCCACTTAAGGGTTAAATTTCCCAACGAGAGCTCGACTTACGAATTCGTTATCTCGCTCGCTTCACCGTTCGTCACGAAAGCCCGCGAGCCCTTGGTTCACGCGAAAAACAAAATCTTTATCGACGCACGTGATCGCAACACACTCCGAGCTCGCGAACGCACTCGAATTCGTTGTATCCGCGGCCGGAGACCGGATCAATATTTTCGAGCCGCCGGGAAAGAACGATTTTCCACGCGTGGAAATGGCCCGATGCCCCGTGACCGTTCACGGTCCGTTCTCTTTCGTCGCCCAACGTTACGCGTTTCTTTTGCACGCAAGTCACGGCGAGCTGCGCGGACGTGGTGCAAAATAATCTGACCTACGTAATCAGCCCTGGTTTCCCCAACCTCATCGACTGGCCCATGAACTGTTCGGTGGTCGTACGGAAGATCGATAGGCAGGTCAGCCAGCTCAGGATCGATTTCGTCCACTTCAACATAGTAAGCCACGCAGCTCTATCATTCTTTGCCCCACTAACGGCATGTTAACCCCTCGGAATACTACGCATTCGTGATTTCAACCCCCGTTTCACCCTCCCCTCCACCCACCCTCCACTCAAAGCAAACGCGACACGCGCTGGCCAAACAAATCTGTTGACCTTTAATCGTCGACTCGACGGTTCGCTAACCGAAATACCTTTTCCAACCTTCTGATACCTTCGTCGCCGCCATAGGGTCGCCGAGGGGACGGCTCCTGTAAAATTCAACCCGGTCGACGCATGAAATTGCGTCGTTATAAATTAACTGGTCGACTCGGGTTGGAAGAATGAATTTTTTAGAGGGGCCGTTTAGAAAAAGGTTCAGGGGGGTTCGCTACCCTTTGCACGGGGGGTAGTGGAGCATTTATGGTCGTGTAATAAGGCTCTTTCGACGCCACGAATGTTTAAATAAAATTTAAATTTACTGCAGGAGGAAAATATCTCGAGATTAGTGGAACGATTATTTCTATTTGCCCGACGCCATTTTCTGTCTTAATAGAATATATTTTTTATTTTTACATTGAATGTTACAAATAATTTAGAATATAAATGGATAGCAATATATTAGTGATGAATTATTTCAATTTGCCCGACGCCATTTTGAGGGAACCTCCATTTTCTGTTTTATTTTGCTGGTTAATCCTTAATAGAATATATTCTTTATTTTTACATTGAATGTCACTAATAATTTAGAATATACATATGGAATGGCAATATATTATATTAGGGATGAATTATTTCAATTTGCCCGACGCCATTTTGAAGGAACTTCCTCCATTTTCTGTTTTATATTGCTGTTTAATTCTTAATTGAATATATTTTTTATTTTTACATTAAATGTCACTAATAATTTAGAATATAAATGGAATAGCAATATATTAGTGATGAATTATTTCAATTTGCCCGACGCCATTTTGAGGGAACCTCCATTTTCTGTTTTATTTTGCTGTTTAATTCTCAATCGAATATACCTTTTATTTTTACTATGTATTTGAATAAAAGGAATGCGTAGTATTCCGTGGAATATTCTATCACTAACGATTAACGAAAAATACTAATTTATATGCCCCCCATTAACAGCACTATTTTTATCTAAAATATTTATCATATCTTGCATAATTTAAGGACTATACAGGTATAGATAAAACGAATTTCGATACGAGAGTATTTTCCTTAATTTTCCTGGGTCCATTTTGATCCCAACCTCAATTTTATTATTTCCTATTTTTATATATCGTTTTTAATTAAATTTTTACAAAATTCTCGCGTACCTACTATTATCAATAAAACGAACGGTTCGCGGGATCGTGAAAAAGTTTGGCGGTTTTTGTTTTTTTTTTTTTTGTTTACGAATTCGACGGACGATCGAGGACCCGGAATAAACTACGCCTGACATAACAGAAATGTTTGCCGTTCCCCGGCAAAGTCGCGGGAATTTAGTTTATGTTTCGCTAACTACGTTGCGGGGAAGGTTTTTTTTTTCTCGCATTCCCGATGGCTTTTTCCGTTATATTTCATTGTATATAGAGGGCCCTTTTGTTTCGTGCGGCCGGATAAAACTTGAAACGCTTCCACGGGCTGGGTAAATTAAGTTACAAACTCCGGAATTTTTAATGGGGGCTTCCAGGGAACTTGTACATCTCCTCGAACCACGATTTAAGCGAACTTTAACGCTAAACAGTTTTTAAAATAACGCGTGAGTCGGTGGTTGTAACGGAATCGCGCGAGTTTCGAGGTACGAGGCGACCAGGGAGGTAAGGTCGCCATCTTTGAATCGCAGGATTCAATTTAAAAATGGCACTGTTTCGTTGAAGTTTTTTTATGTTACAGATTTGCTATCAAAGTTACAAGTCAAATAGAAATGGAAAATGCAACAAATTTTGGAAGTGAATATAGGAGAAACATATTTTGGGGTTGCAACCACCCTTCAAACTTTCATTCTTTTATTTTAAATAAGTGACACAGATTTTAGGGTTGCAACCACTCAAACTCTCATTTTTTTAATATTATTTCAAGTGCATTTACCATTTCTTTAAATAAGAGATAAATTTGGGGGTTGCAACCACCCTTTAAGCTTCCATTCTCTTATTTTAAATAAGTTTACCATTCTTCTTTAAATAAGAGGCACAAATTTTAAGGTTGCAATCACTCAAACTCTCATTTTTTTAATATTATTATAAGTGCATTTACCATTTTTTAAAAATAGGAGTCACAAATTTTTGGGGTAGCAACCACTCAAACTTCCACTCAGAAGAGTTAGAAAATATTATTTCAAGTGCATTTAAGTACCATTTCTTTAAATAAGAGTCACAAATTTTGGGGTTGCAACCACTCAAACTATCATTTTTTTAATATTATTATAAGTGCATTTAAGTACCATTTCTTTAAATAAGAGTCACAAATTTTGGGGTTGCAACCACTCAAACTCCCTTTTTTTAAATATTATTTCAAGTGCATTTATCATTTCTTTAAATAAGAGACACAAATTTTAGGGTTACAACCCTTCAAACTTCCACTCTTCTCATACTATTTTAAATGTATTTACCATTTCTTTACAATTTTTGACCACTAAAATTCAACGTATTTTAACTCTCGAAAAGAAAAAATTTTAAATGTAAATAAATGTACATTTTTCACAAACAATCGTATTCTTCTCAATTATATCGAGAGGCACAATCCACCGGGTGATCAATAAACTCCGGAAACGAAGTTAGCGAAAATTCCACGATGATACTTGTCGATAAAACCGTATAATATTCGATATTAGCGATCCTTTGGTGGGTGTTTTCATTAACATTGTTCAAACGCTTTCAATCTGCGTAAACGCTATGCAGTAATGGTCAAAATGATTCGTAATTTCTAATAAAAAATTGTAAAAAATTTATTGCATTGAATTTTTAAAAATTCACCGTAATTTTCTATTAGAGGGAACAAACATTTATTTCCCATTGTATTATACGTTTCTTCGAGTATCTGTTAATTTCTTTGGTACATGTAAATACACCGTAATTATCAGTCTGGCGTTTAATTATTCGAAGGATTAAAGTGGATAGTTTTATTAGAAAATTTTTCACCGTATCCCTGGCTCGCCTGTTGGTTAATTAATAAGCCGCGAGAATACGGTATGGCGGATCAAAGGTGGCCACAATCTACTGGCTCAAGTATTCGAGTAGCGTGGTATACATATGTATATGTATTGGCCGACTGATAAAAATCGCCCGCATTTACTGCACGGCTTGTTCATTCACGACACTTATCGATCGTCGTAGGGTCAACCCAACGCTAGGACGGGCGTATGTGACGAAGATATCATGGAAATCAGAAATGGAAGGAGCGTGTTTCAAATATGCGGCTGGAACAGTGGCCAGCATTGTAAGTAGAAGTTCCTTCGTGCTTTCTATTAACATTTATAATTTTACAATCTCATACGCGAAGGGGAATGCAAGTACTCTCATTGCAAAAAAATTACAGCCATAAAAAAGATTGAAATTTGAACCGAAAACGCATTTCATTTAAAATTCTAGATCACGAAGTCTGGAGATTGAAAAATCATACGATGATCGTGAAAATTGTATAATACGCGAATGGGAATGGAAGTATTCTTATTACAAAAAAATTCCAGCCATAAAAAAGATTAAAATTTGAACCGAAAACGCATTTTACTTAAAATTCTAGATCACGAAGTCTGGAGTTTTAAAAATCATACGATGATCGTAAAAATTGTATCATTATTTGTTTTCCTTTGTTTGCAGGAATTTATTAAAAATTTATGCGTAGTGGAAGTTTTAGTTGGCGATTGTTAATAAAAATTGTGTACTTATTGATGGATATTGATTTGAGGGGATGTTGACGTAACTTTGTTCCAGGTGGTGGTGATTCTGTGTTTTCAAGATCACCTTTGTAACTTGTTTTCCACAATACGTATGTCGCGTGCATGTGTGTCACTCGACTATTCTCGCGAGAGATCGACGTCACGTAGGTACGTGCGATGATTGCCTTCCCTACGGCTCGCACAAACGAATAAAGTATGAATTATAGACCAGTGTCAGATTATCCCTGATATATTATTCAGAATATTCGGCTGACCTATCTCACCCAACGACTGTCAACTTTTTTCAGAACATTTTTAAAAACAATTTTTATCACCGCTAAAACCATATTAAATTCATATATATATATATAAATTCATTACGTTTGCATTTAAATTCGAATAAATTGGCTCAAAATAAAGTCCTTTTTCTTGGATTTGGAACAGACTAAAAAAAAATTCAAAAATTAGGTAAAAAAAAGGAATATATGTATACAGGGTGTTCGGCCACCTCTAGCAAAAATTTTAATGAGCGATAGTAGAGGCCAAAATAAGACGAAAATCAAGAATACTAATTTGTTGATGGAAGTTTCGTTAAAAAGTTATTAACGTTTAAAGTGCCGCCCTTACTGAATTTTTTTCTCGAAAATGCGCAAGATTTCGGGGGTATGTCTATTCACCAAAAATGACTGTAATTGAACCCTACAACCGAAAATAATTTTTCCACGACGATTTGCAATTTTTTAATTTTCTTGAATAATTTCACACCTTCTCTATTTTTTTTCTCGAAAGTGGGCAGGATTTCGTGGGTATGTCTAATGACAAAAACTGATTGTAATTGACCCCCGCAACCGAAAATAATTTTTCCACATCGATTTGCAATTTTTTTTCTCCGTTGAAAAATTTAGGCACCTAATTGGATTTTCAGTAAGGAATTTTTTTCTCGAAAGTGCGTACAATTTCGGAGGTATGTGTAATGATAAAAAATGATTGTAATTGATCCCCGCAACCGAAAATAATTTTTTTAGAACGATTTGAAAAATTTTTTTTCGCCGAAAAATTTCAGCACCTACTCGATTTTTTTTCTCGAAAGTAGATAGGATTTCGGAGGTATGTGTACTCACCAAAAATGATTGTAGTTGACCCCCGCAACCGAAAATAATTTTTCCAGAACGATTTGAAATTTTTAAATTTAATTGTTAATAACTTTTTAACGAAGCTTCCATCAACAAATTAGTATTCTTGATTTTCGTCTTATTTTGGCCTCTACTATCGCTCATTAAAATTTTTGCTAGAGGTGGCCGAACACCCTGTATATACATATATACATATATTTTTAAGATTAGCAATAACAAGAAAAATTGTTATCACCGTTAGAACCGTATTAAATTAATATATATATATAGTATAAATAAATTCATTGCGTTTGCAATTTAAATTTGAATAAATCAGCTCAAAATGAAGTCCTTTTCTCTGGATTTGGAACAGACTAAAAAAAAAAAATTCAAAAAGTAGGTAAAAAAAAGGAATATATATTTTAAAGATTAGTAATGACAAAAACAATTTTTATCACCGTTAGAACCGTATTAAATTAATATATATATATATATAGTATAAATAAATTCATTGCATTTGCAATTTAAATTTGAATAAATCAGCTCAAAATGAAGTCCTTTTCTCTGGATTTGGAACAGACTAAAAAAAAAAAATTCAAAAAGTAGGTAAAAAAAAGGAATATATATTTTAAAGATTAGTAATAACAAAAATAAATTTATTACTTTCAAGTCTGTTCCAACGTTCTAAAGGTCCAGAAAATGTAGAATATTTTAATTTAAAAAATCGTACCATAAAATGGAGGGTTTAAATATGCCTGGTCGCCAAAAAAAATTCAAAAAGTAGATAAAATAAAGGGTTATATATATATATTTTTTTAAGGTTAGTAATAACAAAAATAAATTCATTACTTTCGAGTCTGTTCCAACGTTCTAAAAGTCCAGAAAATGTGGAATTTTTTAATTTAAAAAATCGTACCATAAAATGGAGGGATTAAATATGGTCACCAGGCAAGTAATTTTCAAATCGTGGTAATTTTCAAGTATTCGTAGCAAATGAATAAAATTACATGTAATTATAATATCACGAAAATTTACGCCATTGTATCAATATTGCGTGTCGATAATCTCGTTTATTTTCGAACACGCGAGTCAAGGGTTTCCGAAAATTATATTTCGTTTGCCCGGAGACCCGTGGCGTTCGAGTTGCGCGAGTCTTCTTGTTTCTCGTTACATAATACCGTTGGCGATTAATAAACCCAATCCGTGCGATAAATCTTCGCGGGAAGTTGGTGGGTCGCGATTAAAATCTCGGCAATATCGCTACTACGGAAAGGCGCGAAACGATCAATCTCCCGGGCAAAAACCGTAGCGCGAAAAGAAAAAAGAAAATTAATGCAAAGCAACGAGCGTTGAGAGACGATGCCTTCGCGTTCGTTTCTCGACTTTGCAATAGAGAAGCTCGATAAACTGAACAATTTCGTGCAGTTAAAATTCCATTATAAAATTGTTACTGAAAATCAATTTTCCACGAATTAAATCTGTGTTTCCTTTCTCATTTTTGGGTAATTTTAACGCGTCAAAATCAACTCTAGATTTGACGAAAATTCGTGATGATATTTTACCGAATAATTACAGTGGTTTTTAAAATTTCTGTTCGATTTGACGAGAAATAAATCTCTCGATCTTCGTAAGGTGTGCAAGGGTTCTCGAACGATAGACACACTTCGTGAAAAGATAGATAACTAATTGTTCCACTAATCGATGATTCAGGGCTCAACTGTACTAAGCACAGTTTCGCGTAATACTACATTGTATACGGAGCGTGTCATAATTCTCATCACTTATTGAACGCCTGATGTATATCAGTAGCTAAGTCGAGCTGAACAAGTCAAATAAGATCCCTGGATTTAGTTCGACGTCGGCCGTTGTCAAACGTTCCGTAGCTTTATTTATTTTAAACGGTATCAGATGACACCTGCTAGCTTGGCTTCTAAAGCCTCTGCTATAGTGTAATACAGTGATTCTCAACTCCTGGCGCCACAATGAAACATACACAAATGTGAAGCCACCGAAAGTACTGTCTTTTAATATTATAAATCAATAAATACGTGGCTCCACGTTGCAAAAATAAAGAATTAGGTTCAAATAACTAGCGACTCACAATGGTCATGATATCCATTTAATTATAGTCTTTTGGAGCACACTATAGTCTACGAACTTTAAATTCCCATGATCTGACAAATAAACACAGAAATAAATAACGTTTATCGTAGGGGAAGATAAGAAAGATTGCCAACCACTGATCTAATCGACTATTCTCCATCCAACCATCCACACCTCAACGCTCGAGCCCCCAAGGATCTTATTAAACCAGTCTGCACACATTTCATTTCATCATTCACCTGGAAAATTAAGAAATCGAAACGTTAATCCACTCAACAGCAAACAAACGAAATTAATTTAAAAAAACACCAACTATATTTCACCCTCTAAGCCAGACCTAACCTAAACCTTCAATAAAATATAATTCTCAGACTATTATTATCATCTATGGGTCACATCCGTTTCAACTTCGAACTAAATTCATTCTACACATATTTTATTCCACCATTCACCTGGAAAATTAAAAAAACGAAACTCCACTCCACTCAAGAGCAAACAAATACAATAATTTTCAAAATCACCCACGAATATTCCAACGAAAAATTGCCAATTTAATTACTCTGCTTTAAAAGAAGCATATCCGGTAGACCTTCAATAAAACATGATCTTCGAACTATTATTATCGTCTCACATCCGTTTTAACCTCTCTTTGCAGTGAATTGATCCGTTCAGACCGTATTTTTTACAGTGTACATAGACCTGGACGAGGACGATCAGCCCCTAACGTTGGACTTCCGGTTGCCCGGCGGTCTGCAGTCCCGCATGTGGGAGATGCGGATCGTCCAATTGGATTTCGAGCAGCGTGCGCCGATCGGATGTCTCCAGCACTTCCAAGGCTCGAACGGTACCCTGAAGACGCTGAATTATTTGTCCAACGGTAGATTCCTCGCCGACCAGGATTACCTGATTTGCGTGCGCCAAGAAAGGGGGATGTGCGGGATTTCCTACGTACCTTGCACAGCTGACTCGTTCCGAATAGGTCCGCGAAGGATGCAGGTCGCGAACCTGAACAACACCAGCTCCAACGAGTCCTTAGTTGTCGAGAATTCGGCTGGAAACTCGACGCAGAATATGACCAACGATGGCAATTCCGCGAACAACACGGACGTGGATATCGAGGGATCAGGAACGAGCCCCATGGAGCAGGAAATGGCTTCTTCGATTAACGCGTCGAATCCCATGGAGCAGGATGTCGCCTCGAATGGTCAGTCCAATGGCCAGGAACGATGCAGGGACAGGGTGCTCATCCCTTGTGACTTCGAGGAATTTATCACGGTAGTATCTTGGATTCTGCGAGGGCAGTAACTTTACCAATTTGTCCCACTGTTCCCCTTATTTTGGAGAAGCAGGTTACAGATCTCAGAGAAAAGAAAGAAGATTGCGTGGAAATTGAGTAGACTGCGGATTTATATATTAATTGATATGTATTAATAAAATGGAAGGTCTGTAGAGGGTTCTCTCAACCCTTAAATATAATAATTCTTATCAGTAAAGCAATTCTAGTGGTCGGTCGAGCGCTTGCGAGAGAGACAAGAGCTTGGCCCTCTGGCGGCGAGTACGGGAACTGACGCCACAGTAGTATCATGCTTTAAGTGTTTCTTATATTTTTGCATAGAAAGTGCATTCTGTAAAGTTTCCCATAATTGCATAAACATCCGCAGTCTACTAACAAATTGGTGAAAATGGACTTTGAAAATTTTGAATCTTTGCAGAAATTGTGTACAGTTAGAAGGATTTTAAAATTAGGCAAATTACAAATTGCAACACCTCCAATTCCCATACCTGGGAGTTGGTGAACCACGAATGGGAAAACTTTTACTTTTCCCAGTAAATATGTGCTTTAAATTTTGAGTGTTTTTGTTCCCAACTCGGTGCCAAAATAGCAAATGTACATGCTCGATAACAATGGTTATTACACGCTCAACTTGATTCATAAATGTGAGTTATTGTCCAGTTTAACAATGTCAGAACTTTGAACTCCAGAATTTATGGAATTGTACATTTGTGATTATGACACGAAGAGTATAATATATCTTTTATATTGTAAGAAACTATAGTAGTTTTTTAGAAATAGGCTTGTTTCCTCAAAAGAAGCGATTTAACTAGATTTATATGTACTTTATCTCTGCAAAATTCGCATTATTATATAAAATTTTTCTTCTGAGAAAAACTATTACATTATGCAAATTCTCTATATTTTTAGTATAAAATTTCTCTCAACCACGACTTACCTTTCTTTTCCCCTGCGATATACGCCAACGCTTATCGATCGAAATAATTGCTTCCTCGTAAGTACTCCGCAAAAAATTACCAATCGTGTAATGTTCGGTTGAAATAAAATTCCCGTAACTCGTTAACTACCTCTAATACGCCTTTCGTATTCATCACCATCTATCGATTCATGCGTTCGAGTCATTCGAACGAAGGTTTAAAATTTTACGTCTTCGAGAAAATTACGTGAAAAATTCGCGAGACAAAGCAATGGAAAAATCTCGAATGGAAAATCGTTGGATAGAATTTCGTTCCGCGAATGCAATTGTTTTCTCGCGCCAGGCCTGACATTGTAAAGACAGATCCTCGCGTAACGAAATATCGTAACTCTGGAAACACCGTTTTCCTTTCGTCGGCTTCGTCCATTTTTCATGACCGCTAACAATATGCATAACGCGTGACTTTGGCGAGCTCTGCGCCGTGAAATATTATGACGCGGATGCCAAAAGTCTGAAAATGTCATTTCCAAACACATTTCTTTCCGTTATTAATGTGTTTATTTAGTCAAACAATATTTTCGTGGGTATTTGGGAAACTATAAAATACATTTAAATGGTATTTATTCTAATTAATTTAACGTTTCGTGATTTCCAAAAATTTTAATGGGAAAATTAATTTGGACAACTATAAAATACTTTTAAATTGTATTTATTCTAATTAATTTAACATTTCGTGATTTCCAAAAATTTCCAAAATTTATAAACAGGGAGTTTCCGGGGGAAAATTTAAATGGAAGATTCTAGAGGCCAAAATAAGTCGAAAATCAAGAATAGTGATTTGTCAATTGAGGCTTCGTTTAGAAGTTATTAACGTTTGAACGCGATAGTGTGCACACTTTAACTTTAATCGTTAATAACTTTTTAACGGAGCCTCGATCAACAAATTGGTATTCTTGATTTTCGTCTTATTTTGGTCTCCAGAATCTCGCATTAAAATTTTTTCTTGATCCTATGAGATTTATTTGAATCAATTTTGTAATAGTACGAAATTATTAATTTTACGTAATTTGAAGAAACAAACGATAGAATTTTAAGGGATGGGATGGAATTAATGAAGTTTGGGGATCGTTAAGGAATTTAAATTTCATGTTTGGGAAATTTTGGTTGCAGCCTGGGAACAACGAGGCTGGAATTTGCAACCTCGAACACTGTGGTAATTCTCTGTGCGACGAGAACGAGGTGGACGAAGAAGGGAACTGTCGCGTGGAGACTTGGGCAACGCCCTTCCGTATAAGGGTGGCTTTTGGTCCTGGACAGGACACAGGGACCACGCTGGAGGACAATATTGGCATGTGTCTTGTGTACGAACAATTACCTTGCGTGTCTTGAACAGCTAGTGATAAACGAGTTCAGGAGTGGAAAGGTAGGAGTCTGAAATTCATACGGGTCGACCGTACATTAATACCCTTCAGTCAATCGATCATAGCCACATAAATATTTAAACCCTTCGCAGAGAGTAATTTCATACCTCTGGTGACGTATTTGTTTCATTTTTTTTTATATATCTGCGACTCACGATTTTATTTTTAACGTTTTGCGTTAACTTTACACTCTGGGTGAGATTCGTTTATGCTTCGTTTAATATTTACAAGATGAGGTGCACTGAAATTTTTAATTCTGTGGATTAGATTTTTTTTTTTTATTACTTACCTCGAATGCAGAATTTTTTTTTGTAGAGATGGCGCTCGAGAAGCTACCAAACTATTGTGTTGTAAAAAAAGTGTAATTAAATACTAAAACCTGATATTTTCTTTAATTTATAAACGATTCGAAATTTACGAGATAAAATAGCCGGGAGTTCGAAAATAATTCACTCCGATGAATTTTAAACATATAATTTACAATCGACACGAAATGGATATAAAAATTATTTATTTATCGTGCTCGTTGCATCGGTTGGCAGTATTAATCCCTTCGTGTAAATGTTTCAACGCGTGCGAACTTTGCGATTATTTTTTAAATTAATAAACGCCGCGCAGCCGATAATAAAACAATCGTCTCGCTTTATAACTCGCGCTCCTTCGACAATGCAATCGCGAAATGTTTAAAATTTATCGAGATGAAATTCATCGTTCGCGGAAAGTCAATTTTCAATTGTCGGGGAGCATGTTCGGCCCATCACGTTAAAACGATACAATTGGATCGCGCCACTTGCGAAATTACTGATAATTGGCTCGCTTTATAATTTCCATTTGCATCAAACTGCACTTCGTCCGTGAAATATTCGAAGTTTATCGAAGTGAAACGCTTCGTTTACAGCTGGACAATTTTTTCACCATTTATAAAAAGAGACGTATTTTTTTAAAACATAGATGCTTGACAACAGATTTTAAAGTTAACGAAATCGATTGAAAAAAAAAAAAAATCTAGTTATTATCCTGATACTTGTGCTGTGCATATGTTTTAGAAATATTAATTTATTATTATTTACTGTTGATTATTTAAATATTGCCATACGATTCGAAGAGAAAGAGAATAAATGTTTGTTAAAGAATGTTATCCACGTTTAAATCTCTTTTTACTTTGCGTCAGGTGTACAATTTTAATACGTGATATAGTATTCGTAGAAGAATATTTATGAACGTAAATTCCGCAAGGGTGAAAAGCGTAATTTAAATTACCACCCCATAGAAAAAAAAAACTGTTAAATATTTTAATAATCTCGGTCCCTTGCAAATAAACTGCTCTTCGTTTATCAAACCTAAATAATATTGTTGGAATTAACCGACAAAATATTTTCCAACGTTCAACGAGCATAAATATTAAACACGTAATTTGCTCGCGGATATGCAAAAGAGATCCGCCAATTAAGAACGGGAGACACGCTTTTAAATGAAAATGTTTAAGAAGCTCAAAAGATAAGCTCGAAATATGTTTACGCAGAGGGTCGAGGGCGTTCATTACAAAACCAAATGTCTTCCTCTCTGCTTCCCGGGTGGAAATAGCCAATTAAAATTCTACGACTCCGTGGTTCACTCTCGTTCCAAAAGGGTGGGGGGTGTTGGGGGTGTTTAAAGTGCGAATTCAAAACTCCCGCTGGCCACGCCGATGTCAAAGAGTTAAATAGTCTTTATTTACAAACGAACTAGCTTAAATCACAAACGCAGCGCACAACTCTCGATACAATAATAGATATATAATTCGCCTTTTTTTTTATTCTTTCTTCTTTTTTCCATCCGCTTCATTTTCACGCGATCGCTCGCCGCGATCATCGACAGCGCACGCGCGCGAGACCGCCATCTTTCTTCGTCCCGAGGACGGTCGAAACTCTCGTCTAAATACGCATATTCGAACTAATAAAAGGCAAACAATCCTTTGCACGGTCCGTAGAAACGAGAACACTTTATCTACCCGCTTAAAAACCGGTCGATGATCGCTGGTGACTCTCATAAGTCGATAAAGCGTTGATCGTTCGAACAGAATTTCGGCCATCTTGGTTCTCCTCGAGATTCATCGTTGTAGCTGTGAACGCGACTCGCTGGACGATGATCGCGTCGATCGCGTCGATAACGATAATGATGTTACAAGAATAAATTATAATGCTATTGAATACAATAATGAAGGTGACGTCACGCCGAGAATTTCGAAAAGAAATAAGAAACACACCCGGAACAACGGCGTGACTTGTTTTTACGCGTTCCTCCCGTTCCTCGTCACTTTGAACTCGCAATAACCGTAACGATGAGTAAGTAATAATGAGATTAGCGATAATTGTGATTCAACGTTTTACGACGTTCGGTTTCGTATAAGAAAAGTCGAATCTCTATCTACAAAGTCAAAAGGACCGATAAAACTTGTAAAAGGGCGGTGGTCATTGAACTCGTGTCTCTCTGTGTGGTGTTTCTGTTTCGCGTGTGTGTGTCTCTGTGTACATGTGTGTGTGTGTGTGTGCTCGTATGAATCAGGCGTGTTCGGTTTTCTATACAGAGTGTCCCTGGATACAGCACGCGTCGCTCCCCTGATACCGTACTGCGCTAATTCGTAATGAGCTTCTTTTTTTTTCTTCTGTTTCTTATTTTTTTTTTTTTCATTTTTTTATCCTCTTTTATCGGTTTCCTCGTTTTACCCGGGGACACCACGGTTCACCCCTGCGAATCGGTCTCGACTCGCGTCGTTCGCTTTCTCGTTTCGATTTTTTTTTTTCTTTTTTTTTTAAAGCGTCATGATATGTATTACTATTTGGGAGACTGAACGGTTTCTTGTTTTTCGCTACGATGCTGTTTCTTGTCGAAATCGACGCGGAGGGGGGTTGAATCGTCCATCGACTCTTCGATCTCTCGCGGTTGATTTCGTTCCTCGGTGAATAATACGATTCCCCGCCATTTTCTCGATCCCTCCGGTGAAACTGGGTTCTCGGGGGAAATAGAAGAATGCCTCAAGATGCATATCCTTGCAAACTTAGTTCCGAGTGTATTTTTCTCGCTGACGATCGTCGTGGACCGTCGTGTCGAGTTTGATATTGTTTGCTGTATGTTTCGGTTTGATCAGTCCGTGGAATTCGTGTTATTCGAGTCATTTAATGTCAGATTTGGGATAAATACAGTCTTAAGTTATGGAACTGAGTCCTACGTCGACCTTTACTTCGATAATTAGTTCTTTGTATCCTATATTTTCCATGATTTCTCTTCGTTTCTATTCAAACCTCGTAAACGTCCTTTTTACTTAAATCGTTACTACGTTTCTAGAAATTAGTGAAAAATGTAGTTCGAGGCAGTAAGATATGGACCTGATAAGAAAGTTTATTCTTTGAACTGTAGATACAAATTTACACTGTCGAACAATGCGATTCTTCACTTTGTTTAAACTTTTACTGTTAAAGGACAATATTATAAGTTTGTTTGATTTGATTTGAACGATTCAAACTGCTTAAACTTATCTCAGATTGCATTTTTAAGCTACTCAGACACCTCTGCCTATAGAATTGGTTGTTTGACTTGGTTTGATGTAGTTTGAACGATCCAAACAGCTTAAACTTATCCCAGATTGCATTTTCAAGCTACTCAGACACCTCTGCTTATTAGAATTGGTTGTTTGACTTGGTTTGCTGTGGTTTGAACGATCCAAACAGTTTAAATTTATCTCAGATTGTATTTTTAAGCTACTCAGACACCTCTGCTTATTAGAATTGGTTGTTTGACTTGGTTTGATGTGGTTTGAACGATCCAAACAGCTTAAACTTATCCCAGATCGTATTTTCAAGCTACTCAGATACCTCTGCGTATTAGAATTGGTTGTTTTACTTCATTTGAACGCCAAACTAAGCTTAAACTTATCTCAGATTGCATTTTTAAGCTACTCAGACACCTCTACTTATTAGAATTGGTTGTTTGACTTGGTTTGATGTGGTTTGAACGATCCAAACAGAGCTTAAACTTATCTCAAATTGCATTTTTAAGCTACCCAGATACCTCTGCTTATTAAAATTGATTCTTTGACATGGTTTGATGTGGTTTGAACGATCCAAACAGAGCTTAAACTTATCTCAGATCGTATTTTCAAGCTACTCAAATACCTCTGCTTATTAGAATTGGTTGTTTGAATTGGTTTGATGTGGTTTGAATGATCCAAACAGACCTTAAACTTATCTCAGATCGTATTTTCAAGCTACTCAATAGAATTGGTTGTTTGAATTGGTTGTTTGATTTGGTTTGATGTGGTTTGAACGATCCAAACTAAGCTCCAACTTGGAGTGTATGTTCACCCCATTTAAACACCTGTTATTTTCAATATATTTCACCAAGTTTTCCTGAAATATAGCAATCGAATCAATCCAACAGTGTGAAACATCGTATCGGCCGTTAAAGAATAATCTTTCTTCAGGAATTTTCGTCCTGCTGATCGTGAATGTTCCGAAATTCCAAAACAATGGTAAAGCCGGTATGTTTCCATCCGGATCTATAACAGTGATTTTCCGATTTGGCGGAGTCTTTCATGCATATATTTTCTGGCCGAGCATGCAGCGAAATGCTGACACACGAACCGCGAGAAACATGTGTCAGCACGTTTCAGCATTTAAATGCTAATTTCTACCTATGACACGTGCAGATCGATCAAACACTTACTTGTTAGAGCAGTAGACGGTCATGAATATTTACAACGTTCGAGCTTCTATTGCTTAAATCATATCACGCGCAATGTACTCCCGTTTTGAAAAAAATTCCACTGAAAATGGAGATTCCTACGACACGCCGTCAAATTAATTTTACCGTATTCGATGTTAATCCACTTTGAACACAAGTATCGATTCGTTAATAATAAAGTTTTATGGATTCGAATGTTCTTCGTTGATTCTCACCGACATTTTGGTTCCGTCGATTTCTCTCTTTTTATAAATTGGACTCACGGAGACCGTGTAAGAGAAATATTTAATTTTAAACGGAGAACAGAAGAAAAAAAGAGTTTTCTTGTTTGGTAATTTCA